GGGTCTCACCGTCCCCTCTGGGAGGTCCTGGCGGCCCCTCCGCCCTCCCAGAGCTGCTGGTTGGGCCAGCCAGCAGCAGTAACGTGGAATTACCGGCTCCTGGTGTGAGCTGGGTGCGCCGGGGAGCTGCAAACCGGAGGTGTTTTCAGTGTTATTTAGAGACACGGCGTATACTGGCTTGTGTGTTATCTCGGGACAGCTGACGGTCATCACTGAAGAAGTCTGGGTGTGTTGGGAAACAGGGTGACTGGAAGCTGAACATCCAAGAAAATTAAAGTTATTACCCTTTGAAGTCTTAACGTAGAAAACATGTTAATCAGGCTTCAGTTAATCTTGGGACTTGACAGAGGCCCTGGGTATTAACAGAAAGGGGACAGAATCATAACATGCCAAGAAAAAATGACAACAAAATACTTACAGATCCTGGTTTGAGGAGAATCTGGGAATTGTTTTTTGTTTGTTTGTTTTTTTTCTTATTTAGGATACTTAAGAGCACCTTAATTTAGGTTTTTAAAAAAGATTGGATATACCAAAGGGTATGCCAGTCCTCAAAGTAATAATTAAACAGCCACACAACTATGAAAAAATATTTGGAAGGAGTCCAGAATATCCATATTGGCTTGTTCCTACAGTAGGCTATAGCTTTGTTAAAAATAATATAAAATTACAATCAACATTATAAAGCTTCTTAGATAAATAAAATTACATCAAAGCTAGGCCAGTCCATGTAATGTCAAATGCATTTTTATTCCCATCTTAAAATGTAGTTGACCTTGTGTTAACAAAACTTTTCAAAGGTCTTTTCTAGATCAAAGGTAAGGAAAACCCTTTATGATTAACTCACTTTGATTGATGTTGAAGTAGCAGTAACAGGCACAAACAACTCTTCATGTTCTTCAAGTGGTAAGGGCGTTTCTGAAACTGAACCCATGACATCGCCAACCCTATACAAATAAAAACTGAGGCAGAGGGATGGAGTTACTTGTATTCTGGGACTCTTTGGTACCAAAGATTGTTCTTTTTCCCTCTCCCTTTGTTGAGTTATTGAGGAAGTTAATACAAAAGGCCAACTGGTGCCAATTGTGAGCTTTGTTAACCTAAAATCACTCACGTAAATTATAGTCCCTGAGGAAAAAGACATCTGTAGAAAAGGCTCAAATCTGTGGAGCTTGTAAGAGATCAACACCTAGAGATCTTGGTTGTGTCCGTTTTCCCACAGGTTGCTTTAATGCCTTTTGTGGCACAGAAATACATTCAGACACAAGAGAAAGGATGAATACTTGTGCCTTACCTACTGTTATTTAGGAGGGGAACAGAGCTTCATAGTTAGGGGCTGGTGGGTATGTCACCCCACCAAAAAGAATAAAATGAAATTTCCAAGGAGAAGGGGGTGGATCATATGGCAGAGTGATCCAGGTACGGAACAATAAACGAGTACGAGTTTAGACCAAATGCTTAACTGTACAGAAATATCAAACCTACATGCCCCTAAGAAAATAAAAAATACCTGCCAATCAGATAAAGTAAAAAAATGTTTCTAAGTTTCCACCACTATAGTACTGAGGACAAGCTGACTTTTAATGCTGAGGTATGGAAAAAACATTCCTGTGTGGATCTGTATTCCTATATGACATCTTTCGTGTTTTACTCACAACGGGGTGTTTCCACTACAGCTGACTGCATCCAGCTGAAAGTGCCAGTCATTCAGCAGCTGTACCACTGGGACTGCGGGCTGGCCTGCTCCAGGATGGTGCTTCAGTAAGTGACTGGTTTGGTTTGAATGGGTGGGAAATCCCATCCCATGGGAGAGGGGTAGTGGGAACCAACATCCAGGGAGGTGTGCTGAAGCAGCTGTGAGTTTAACTTAGTCTTACGAGATCATGCAGTCTCAGGTACCCTTGGAGAATTGCTGCTGCTTGGGCCTGGCACAGCTCTCTACCAGGAGCAAGGGAAAATATAAACCAAGATGAACTTAAGACCCTTTTGAATAATTGACTGCTTTGGCAGATGGAAAATATCTGATCAGCTCTAAGAACTTTGCAGGTTGGCATGCATAAGCTAATAAAAAGTTATCCCTTTTTCCTGTTGTTATAAATCAGAACTGATACTTAGCACAGCAATTCACCTAATCCCTTTCTGTGTTTTCCAGTGATGGGCAGGCGTATTCCAGTTTATGAGGTTATACTGCCTCTGTCCTGCTGAGCCCCCAGTCTGTGGGATGAGTGTTTTTGTTCCAGGAGTAGTTTCAACTTCAAAACAATGCACTGTATTGCCCTTTGGGTTTTTTTTTTCTTTCTTTCTTTTTTTTTTTTTTTTTTTTTTTTTAATATT